AAATTGTATTCAAAAATATGAAAATATGTGTTGTTGAATAATGTAATGTGTAAATAAAAATTTAATTTCTTCCAATGACTTATTGTACAATGTTATTTCCTAAATATACCGAATACATCGGCTTGGCATGGTTATAATATACCTAACCGTTAAAAGAAAACATGATTATTTTTAACGAATTTAAAACAACAGAACACTGAAACCGGATATCAAATATCTAGTACAAAGTTTTCAAGAAGTATAAACAATGACAAGTACAAAAAAATTTTCACACAATAATATTAAACATTTTACAGTATAAAATCCCCCACGCCATCCTCAAAAGACGGCCCTAAGTCAGACACATTGCGTTTAGAAGAAAAGACTAAAATGTTCTTTAAGTCTTTGTTGCCGTTCATGTCAAGTATAAATGTGTGTAAATTAAGCGTGTTTTCGTGAAGTTGCCGAGAGTAAACGATTTGTTAAAAATCGTTTTGGTGATATTTTAATGTCAAAACTATTTAATGTATTATTTCATACTGTTTAACTATAGAATGTTTGCTCTTATAGTTCTATTTTCAACCAACTTTTTTTACGGTTTATTAGCATACCTATCCCTAATAATACGTTTTTAATACAAATTTTTTTTCAGTTAATTTTGGCGACGAACAAACGTTATATTGAGTCGTAGCAGTCGGCAAACCATTTACTTATATTATTTTTGCAAAAAATAAAAATATACTTTTTGTTTTTTACAAAACAACATAGCTAATAAAAATATGTCCACAATAGACTTATTTTATCTCGCCCACGCGCCATTAAATTTATTATTTTATGCAGTATAGAAATATTTAAGTGGTCATTACCATAGATAGAAGTTGTAAAAGTCGAAATGATTTTTGAAACTTTTAACTAGGTAACACTTCAGGGTAAATAATATTTAAACGGGAAAAATCACTGTAGTAAAAAAATCAAATAATCATAAGCACCGTTTATGACTTTAAGCCACTTGTGACTTGATCATATTTTTTTATTAAAATTAATTTCAAAATCAATACAATTTTTCTAATATTGATATATATATACTGACCAGTAGTGATGTTTATTGTTATATTACGATTAATGAATTTATAACTATTATGAACAAAAAAATAACGACATACAAATTTAAATTAGAAAATTTGTTTTTTTTTGTTTTTCTGTTTTTCTTGTAATATAATTATTACAATTATCAAAATCAATAATCATTTTGTTTTGGATTACATTTTGAGCGGAGTGAGGTAATATTGATTTTATAATGATAACTATAAAAAATTAAGAAAGTGTGTACCACTCATGACTCTGCTGTGCATCAGGTACCGGCAGTTCATTGATATATGGATGTATTCAATTTAAATTTAATGATGTTTAGGAAAAACAATTCTAAGCGGAGAAAATCTGTCAGACTATATCACTATCAAACGGCAACAACGTAAAAGGCGTGTATTATCTTAATACGTTGTTGAGACGCATATTTATCAAAGACGCAAATACGTGGTTAAGGTCATAGCTAGGATTTTAATCAGGGAGGGGGGGCTTAAGTTGATAACCATTTTATTTTTTTTTGCTTTTTCGATTTTATAATAAAAATTACACGTTTGGTATAAGAAATAGAATTTAGTTTGAAGTGCAGGGGAGGCTGCTACACCTTCGCTACGCCCATGTACGCGGTTACTAATTATTATCATTGCACGTCAATATTTTCTATTAAGTGCATAACATCAATATATAATAGGCGATAGCAATTCAGATTGTTATTTCAATGAGATCTTGTCGTTTGTCATTAATCATTGAATTTATATTTCGGAGTTCAGACAGTAATAACAAACGGAATCGAATAATCAAAACACGCGTGTCGTGTGGCTTTAAAAAAGGAAACCGGTACGGCTGTACAAAATCATTATAATATGTAGGTACTATATTATAAATATTCAAATTTACTTGAATATTTTGGCTACGGCTAAAATTGTAAAAATATTAGTTATCCCTAATACTTAAATAATCAAATACTTAAATGTATGTTATACATATATCTGCCCAGTGGCAGATTTAATGGGGGAGGGGATCGAGGGACCTCGCCACCCTATAAGCCTAAGTTTGGTTTTATTAATGTAATAGTGAATATAGGTATGTAATTGAGTGTGTAAAAAGATTTTATTTCTACCTGGTAACAGTGGATTATTTCTCAAAACCAGATTTTACAGCTTATCAGAAAAAGTCTACTATTCTTATCGTGTAAATAATTTTGTTTCTGTATAGATTTATTTTGTCAAGGATTCAACTTAGATTAGATTTTATATTTCTGAAAATAAGTATTAATCTGGCTAAAGTTTTGATGACCACAAATTTCTTTTGTTTTTATGTAAGTATTAGACTGCTACCGAATTATGTTCAGACAATATTTATTGGTACGAGTATTCTCCATACATATACACAATACACATAAATTTATTTGTTATTTTTCAAATTTATGTAAGAATTGAAAATGCATAAGTAATTTTTCGAGTTTTCACTAATATTATCATAGATGTAACATAAAGATTTAGTGTTTTCAGTTTACATTATAACTTTCAATCGATTAAATTAATCTAATAAAATTGAAAACAAATTTATATTTTTCATGAACTTCAAATTGATTTTCAAGTTATAATTATATTATATTTGATCATTCCAAATTTATATTTA